TAATATATATATATATATATATATATTATTCAAGCTAAATTAAAGTAAGTCTATTTCTTATCTTATCTTCTTATCTTTCTTCATCTTAATAAATATAAACTGTGGAGTACTTTCTTATTCCGAAATGCGATTAGAGTTGTACATTAGTTTTACGGTCCCTGTGTCTGTGCTGCCACCTACAGGGCATTCACTATTACTGCAGTGGCTCAGCTGTGTGTCTTGGGCATCATGTGGATATTCGGATGTTTCCAGTTTGAGGAAGGCACCAAACCAATGTCTTACCTTTTCACCATTTTTGGCAGTTTTCAGGGATTTATGCTCTTTGTCATGCATTGTTTGCTTTCCAAACAGGTCAGTAGATTCCTTTCCCACATCTACTGCTTTTCTTTTTTTTTTATCTCATATTCTGGTGTCTTCATTTTAGGTCAGGGATGAATATGGCAAAGTTTTCTCCAGGCTGTGTGTACCTCAGAAGAAGAGTTACACAGAATTCAGCTACTCAAGCAAAGCAAATGTAAGAAAATAGAAAATATATATTGCAATTCCCACATTAAATTGATTTAATTTCATCGTTAGAGATACATTTTAACTATGAATGATTTTACTACTTTGTTGTTTGGTGATGACTGCATTCAAAGTGCACTGTGACCAGTGTTTTGTCTCTTTTCTGTCATCCTCAGCCATCTAAAAGCACCCAGGACACTGGACAGACTCAAATCCCAGGAGCTAATCACTGAAATTGGAATTAATTATATTTTCCGCTTTCTTATTTGTCACCAGTCCACAAATTTGCTTTACTGTCAATTGTTACTGTAAATCACATTTTGGGGATTTCTTTAACATAAGCTATGCTTTGAATGTTGGAGCTCTATACATAATTAATTGTTGTTATTGCAATACCAGGGGAATTTAATCATATTTACCTCAATAAATTATCTTTGTATGTCTATATTTTAAAAATAGCTAAAAGTGCAGGTAGACATCAGTGTCAGTCATCCCCAAAAAGAAGTTTGATTTATTAAGAGAGTGGCATGTTAAAATTTGAATGTCTAGCTTATATATTTTTATGCAAAAACATGACTATTACAGTGAGACATAATATTTCATAAACAGGTTACGGTTTTAGTGATGATTTTATAATAGGTTAAAACTTTTGTATGACATACTGTACATAATCTGATAGCATTTGTTTGTGAAACATTTGAGATTGTTTAATGTTGTTTACCTAGGAAGTATTCTTTTCAAAGGTATCTTGAAGCTTATCTGTCGTTACTGTGACTTTTTGTGTGTGTGATTTAATTGTTTATAAAGATTTAAAGCTAAAATATATACATATAATTGACTTTGACAAATTCATCTCCTCTTCTAAAATATTGTCAAAATGATGAATGATGTGGTATTTAAGTATTTTAAATATATCTAGTAGCCACCATCTTTTTTCTAGCACTTCTGTTTTACATTGTCTTTGCCAATGTTTTGGCACAAAATCAGATCACCAATGGTTTCAAAGAATTAACAATGGTCATGAACTGATATACAGCCTTTTGACTATAGACAACAGTGTTTAGTGAATCTGACAAATCAGGCAGACTGATTTGTCAGATACATTCTTCCACACTCAAATATATATACATACAAATAATTTGAATAGTAAGTGTGATATACATTTTCTAGTCTATTAGTGCACATGTACTCGTATCATCTCAGTCATACTACATAGACTATTTACCTGCTTTGCAAAATCCTAGGTAATAATGGCATTGATTTGGCAGACATCAAGTCCTCAAACAGTTGAAACAAACTGACTATTCTTCTTCAAACACCAATTCCTCTTTTAGTAAACTACTTGGAAGTATAGTTATGCAAGTGGTAAAAATCTGCGTTTTTTACTATATCAGTAGAATGCTGTAAATATTAAAGCCACAGTTGCCTGTTTGGTGTAATATAAACATTGACTTTTCATTCACATAATTTTTTTCTCTTCTTGTCTATCATTGTTTTGAAGACCCTGACTTCAAGAAAAAGATGGCTTTTTCAAGAGATGGCAGTCAGAGCTTTGATTTTATTGTTTTTTGCAAAAATGAAAAATCATGTCGTTTATTGGTGTGTTGCTGTGATCTTGTAATACACTTCCCCTTAATGGGAAAAAGCTAATTATACTATAAACTATAATTATACTGTAATTGCATTCTAAATAGTGTCTGAATGACCTTTTTGTTTTTAAAACGACAGTCTTCCATGAATTGATGTTAAAAGATCATAAACCAGGAGAAAAGGAGAAATTAATTACTTACCATTGTCTCTGTGGATTAAGGCTTGCTCCATCGTCAGTTTGTAGATGTCGTTTCCCATATTTTAAGTTGCAAATATCTGTAAAAAACAAGTAAAGACAAAACATTTAGACAGGAGGTTAAACCTCTGCAGGAAAAACACAAAAAAATACTTTCTCTGACCATTAAATTGCCGGAGTATTGTATTACATGGTTTATTTGTTAGAAAACATCTTCATAGTTAATCTTAACTAAAACAGACATACTTGTTCCACACGTTTGTTTCGTATTGTTCTCTTATATAATAAAAACAATTTTAAAAAATCAACAAATGCAAAAAATAATTAAAAGGCGTAAAGAATCTGGTATTCTGTGACCAACTATCAAGTTGTAGCCATCGGCAAGTCGAGTGGCAGGGTATAGGATTTCGTCCAATTAAAATTTAGAAAAGATTGATGAGCGCTAATCTTGACCAATAGTAGAACAACTCAACGAACAGGGTGGGTGGTGCTCCAACTGAACTGACTGCGTTCAATATGGAGTCCACTAAATAGCTTGAATTTAACTGCACTATACTTCTCCAATACATATTTCTTGTGGGCCCGGCGTCCAATGAAGTGTCGTCTGTGAAAGTCAACTTTTAGGACTCTACCGCACAGGTTTGACATATATTGGGAATATAACGTATGAGCAAACTGCAACTACTTACAACGAGAGCCGTGCTGGGGAGCGGCGAACCGCTGTAACTTGTCACTTTCGTGTTTGTTCAGAAGTCATTACACTGCCGGTGTCAGAGGACGACTTCACTACGTCATTTTCCGCTAAAGTAACAACTAGTGACGAACGGCGGGGTTAGTGGGTGAAAGGTGATATTTCTGCAGCCTGCTCACTCGTAGGTATGTTGGAGATTTGCTGTGCAAGTCAATGAAGCTGTTTCTATAACCTGAAACGACCTCTGTTTATAAGCATCGCCTAAATCACACACAACATTTCGGTAATAATATGTATCCGTTTGCATCTTAACCTGAGCTTGTGTGCACTAATTCGTATTTAAGACGAATTTCTTTTTTTTAAATCTTTGGGGTTTTTTCTACTTTTCCCTTTCATGGTATGACAAGAATGCACAATGCAGCAAGTGTCTCGGGCTCTTTGGGGTCTGTGGGACTGTTACGTTTCTTCGGGGTGTCCTGGTCCTGGAGTCTAGCTACAGGATTTGGGGTGTATCTGGCCATAAGAGGCTGGAAATTCATATATATTGCTGCTCGCACCGCCAAGAGAGACCTCAAGTAAGCAGAACATAACAGAATAAAGTTCTGAGAGTTGTGGTGCACTGTTTGTTTTCACCTTCCTCTTGTCTCCTTATCTTGCCCTTCTTGCTAGCGGCCTCTACATCCTGTTCAGAGTGAAGCTGGCCTTATGGCGTTACATACGAAATGGAAGCAACATTCCATCCATCTTTGCTCAGACAGTTAAACGTTACCCAAATAAACCAGCCCTCATCTATGAGGCAACAGGAGAAACCTGGACCTTCATGCAGCTGGACCAGCTTTCAAATGCAGTGGCCCACTGGGCCCGAGGTCAGGGTTGGGTGTCTGGGGATGTGGTAGCCATCTTCATGGAGAGCAGACCACTACAGGTGGCACTCTGGCTGGGATTTGCCAAGGTTGGGGTAGAGGCAGCACTTATCAACTTCAACCTACGCCAGGATTCTTTACTGCACTGTGTTGGTGTGTCAGAATCACGAGCAATTGTGTTTGGAGCTGAGCTCGCTGATGGTAAGAACATGTTTCCGTGCATTTGCTGGTTCATACAATGCATGAACTAACATGATCTTCTCTGTCTTTTCCTCTAACAGCCCTGTTGGAAGTCCGCTCCTCACTCCCCCAGTCTATGGTACGGTTCTGTACAGGAGAACTTGGTGCTGAGCAGATGATTGCTTTGAGTGCTCATCCACTGGATCCTATTTTGGCTGTTACATCCAGATATGCCCCTTCACCTTGCGTTCCCAGCAAAGGCATGAGCGGTGAGAACATGATCATTTTGTCCTGTTTGAGACTTTTACTCAAACAGTACATAGTTTCATTATTCATCTCTGTCCTTCCCTCTTTCTCTCATGCATCCCTTTTCTTGAATGTGTTTTGCTGACATATATGTGTCTTTTCTGCAAACATCTCACACTTTTTCACTTAATACTTTTTGAAACAGAATTGCATTATAAATTAGGTCTGACTTCTTGGGGCTTGAAAAATAAAGTTAAAAAAATTGAGTCTGGCTTTTCGACTAATTCTAATCCATTTTTTCCTGAAAATAATGTGGGGTTTTTGGTTCTGTTAAAAAAAAGGGCTACATTTCTCAATTCTCTTCTTCAGACCGCCTGTTTTATATATACACCTCTGGAACCACAGGACTGCCCAAGGCTGCCATCGTGATACACAGCCGGTATGTTTTCCTGAACACCTCACAAAAATGCAACACAGTGGAGACTTACAGTGATGAATGCTTGAGGACTTCCCTTCTGTTTTAATGACAGCTACTACAGAATTGCTGCTTTTGGGTTTCTTTCCTTTCGCCTACGCACTGATGACATTATTTATGACTGTCTGCCGCTCTATCACTCAGCAGGTGGGTGACAGTTGCCTCTAGTTCACCAGGGATTCCATTATTATGTACGTAGCATAACCAAAGTTTTTTTCCCTTCACTTCAGGTAATATCATGGGGGTTGGACAGTGTCTCCTCCACGGCCTCACAGTGGTAGTTAAAAAGAAGTTTTCTGCTAGCCGGTTTTGGGAAGATTGTATCAAATACAACTGCACTGTAAGAGCTTGGATAATAGTTTTTGAAAATGAAAAAAAAAGCAGCTGTTTAAAGTTCATTTTGAAGAGCTTGTTTCTTTTTTGTTTTTTATAAACTGCAGGTGGTGCAATATATCGGTGAAATCTGCCGCTACCTTCTCTCTCAACCTGTGCGGCCACAGGAGAAAGGCCACAAAGTTAGAGTGGCAGTAGGAAATGGGTTGCGGCCCAGTGTGTGGGAGGCTTTCACAGAACGGTTTGGCGTCGCACAGATTGGCGAGTTTTATGGAGCGACAGAGTGCAACTGTGGCATGGCCAACACAGATGGAAAGGTCAACAATCCAAGTGTTTTTAATTGTATACTCATTGACACGATGTATTTCCGATTAAATTTGAGTTGAATTTCCCTCTGTTAGGTCGGAGCCTGTGGATTCAACAGCCGTATTCTCCCTAATGTTTACCCCATTCGCCTGGTCAGAGTGAACGAGGACACGATGGAGCTTATTCGTGACAGCCGTGGTCTCTGCGTGCCTTGCCAACCTGGTATCTAATACAACAGTTACTTTTTTGCTGAAATGTAGTTGTGTTTCACACAGAGGAGTGAACATCTTGACCAGGTCAGGAACAGGAAACTCAGTAGGATTGTTCCTGTGCTTGATACAGTTGATATTTGCTTACTGTACGTTATGAACTGTGATAAATAATGGACATCAATTCTGGGCACAATACAATAGACAGAAAGGAAGTTGTGATTGTACTTTTAAAACTAAACTTCAAAGGTGGAGAGGTGAAATTTCATTGTAGCACGAAGCTGGACCATCTGCAGATCTCTGTCTTGTTCTTACACACTGAGTTCATGTTCATTTCAGAACACAACTAAAAGTCCAGTGAAACTTCATGGAGTTTGTTTTTGCAGGTGAACCAGGACTTCTGGTGGGACGTATCAACCAGCAGGATCCACTTCGGCGATTTGATGGTTATGCCAATCAGGAAGCAACAAGGAAGAAAATAGCTCACAATGTCTTCAAACTGAATGACTCGGCATACATATCAGGTTTCTTTTTTTAACACTAAATATAAGTAAAAATTCATTGCACTACCAAACTTGGCTTAGCAATCAGTACTCGTTTCAACAACACAGTCAGTCTTAACGTGTACTATATGATGAAGAACATTTCCCTAATTTAAATTCATCAGTTTTTTTTTTTGCCACCTACGTCTACTGCAGGTGATGTTCTGGTGATGGATGAGCTGGGTTACATGTACTTTCGGGATCGGAGCGGAGACACTTTCCGCTGGCGAGGGGAAAATGTGTCCACCACTGAGGTGGAGGGGATACTCAGCAATCTCCTGGGTCAGACGGATGTCGCAGTGTATGGTGTGACAGTGCCAGGTGACATTAGCTTCATGTTTCAGGCCTCATTTTGGGGTACAATTCCTGTTTTACCTTGAGTCCTACAAGAGAAAGTAAGCATGAGTCCTTCTACAGAAAAAAAAGGCTTTTTAAGAATTAATAGTTATAACAATATAATTTTGTTCTTTTGAACAGACATGAAATGTGAGGTTGAGGCCATAAACTATTGGATGCAAATAAATCCTGCAGCCTCATCGTATAACTGTGATACATAATTGTGTGGTAAACCTGTGTAGTAGTTCCAATCTTCAATGAGCCATTACACAGGGCAATGTTTACACAGAGCTATTGATTTTGACCCATTGAAAGATAACCATTATTGTAACTTACCAGGAGTGGAAGGAAAGGCCGGCATGGCTGCCATCGCAGACACAAATGGAAGATTCGACTGCAATGACTTCTTGCAGAAAATCCAACGAGCTCTTCCTCCATATGCTCGTCCTGTGTTCCTGAGAATCTCCCCACAAGTAGACACCACAGGTAGGTTAATGTGCAAACAAAGTTTATGAATATACCACTAGTCACTGAAGATATTGTCATGCAGTCATTCTTTCTTTGTCTCTCTCTCTCTCTCCACAATCCTGTGTAGGTACATTTAAAATTCAGAAAACCAGGCTGCAGAGGGAGGGATATGACCCACGTCTGACATCTGACCAGATCTACTTTTTGAACTCAAAAGCTCCACGTTATGAGGCAATAGATGAGGAGCTGTACAATGCTATAGTGGAGGGAAGGATATCTCTATGAAATGGAGGAGATAGGAAGTTGGCCAGGATGTCTTTATGAGACCAGTGGTCCAGAGGGAGGAGGAACGTGCTGGCTTTAGTCAGTCATGGCCCAACACCTGCCTGGTTAGGAAGTTGAAGAATCAAAGCTGAGAGAACAAATTATACACAGTAAATGGAGTTTTGTTACAGATGATGTTATAACACTGTATAGGTAACACACCAGGGTGAAATTTGAGGGCATTTATTTCTCATTTATAACTCATTTACACACAACCTCACAAATCTTTTGAGCCTCGCTGCACTCAGGGTGGGCATGACTTAGGAGCGTGATACGATCGTGTTTGTTAGGGCAGCACAGGTCGTATCATATGAACTTTGTTACAGGGAACTATTAATGTTAAACAAATGCTGCAAGATTTAATTCTGCGTAGGTGTAGGAAAAATTGTAATTTGAATTTAGTTAGTTACTACCATGTGTTTGACTCAAACTCTAAGACTGGAAGTTAACACAAATTTACATATGGTAACTTCATTAAACGCTAGCTATACAACTGTTTTATTACAATGGAAAACTAGTCCCACTTGTCAGATTCAAACACACCAGCATGGGTTTGAAAACACACATTAAACACGTGCCTTACATTTGAAGAGTCAGCCTGTGTTTATTTTTAATGCTTTTACTAAAGAGTTGTAATGAAAATGTAAATGCACAGTAGTGAAAATGTGCCATGCAAACTGTCTGTCTCTTATTTTAGATAGTACATCACATCAGTGTGGTGATGTTTTATGTTGTTTACAATATTTGATCTGCCAGATTTACTTGTTTTAACAGATTAAATATTTTTAAAACATTAATGTCTACCTTCCATTATTCATAGCCTTCTAAATCAAGTAATGTTGAGCTTTTTTTTGGCAAAGGTGAACTAATCATCTGTTGACAATGATATCCTCGTGGGGAGAATTCTCAGCGGGTGCTCCTTGCAGGCAGAGCAAAAGTAAGGAAAAGCTTTGGATGTCATGACATCCAAGAAAGTGTAGAGTGGTGTTCTTTCTCCGGGGTCATAAAAGGTCACCTTGCCCCGGTCCATATCTAAGACCACTCTCACCACTTCTGGCTTCCTACTCATGTTCAGCGGCTCCCACGGTGCTGTGCATGCTTTGTGTTCTCCATTTCTGAACCGTATAGTCCAGAATCCCTCTGCTGGTGTCAGCACATGTTTTCCCTTCCTGTTGATGGAGCTGCTGGCGACGCCCACCACCCAGTATGTGTTGTCTTTCACCTCCACTTCCCAGCTGTGGCGTCCGGAGGTGTAGCCCTCAGCAGCTAACATCTCAGCGCTGATGTCAAAGCGTTCTGGGTTGTCTGGTAGCTTGAAAATCTGGGTAGAGTTCTGCACCAGCGTGAGGTCAGGAGAGAGGATGAAGCAGCTCGCTGCTGTGTTCGGATCCACGACCACAGGATCTCGGAGAAGAGGAGGAAGTGTATGTTAATGAAACACCTGAAGGAAATCTAAACTTTTTTTTTTAAACTTACTGTATTTAACTATGCTCCTCATCTTTTCCCAAACATTGTATTTTAATGAGCCCAAGTGCTTTGCAACATCAATTAGAGCATCAGAAATCTTCTGAGGATCAGGAGAACTCCGCCAAGTCCTGAATAAGTAATTTAGAAGTTAACTGATTTGTGTCTGTTATTGAAAAAAAGAACACAATAATATTTAAAGAAGATAAATATATTGATTTAAAAGATGCTGTTATCCTTACCTCCTTATTGTTTCCTTGTAATTCTGGAAAGAAGGTGTAAATATTATTGTAAATTAATACAAATAAAGTAGTAGTCAAATAGGGACAATAATATCTGCAATATCCATCATGTTTACCTTAAGAAAGTGAATATCATGAGATGTCATTTCCTGCTCTGCTAGTTTTATGGTGTTGGACAGAGACATTATTTCAGTGTCAATCTCCTCAATCTTCTGGTTAATCATCAAGTTCTTTTGTTCCTTCTCTGCCTTTAAGGAAGAAAGTCTTGCAGCTTCCTGCTCTTTGAGGAAGCAATGCAGGGCTTCGAATTCTTCTACGATCTGTTTTTCAGAATGTAGCATTTGGTTCTAGAAAGAAACATAATGGATAGGTAATATTTACTGTCACACACACAACAATCTTGGTGCTTAACATATGATTCAGCAGTGATGAGATTGGGAATATACCTGTACATGTTCTGCCATTTCCTCACAGAAAGTTTTTTCCTGCTTGTACAGCTGTAATTTGTCTTTCAAAGGCTTTAATGCACTTTTCAGTTCCTCCTACAAAGGCAATGACAAAAACAAGGTCAGTCTGGCAGGGGGCCACGCTGTCAGTACAATGTGAGCTTTCAGCTGCCACTTTGTCTGCCACGGCTGCATTCCCTGCAAATGCAATGCTGCACGAGAAATTCCGCAGCAGATAGAGCAGTGAAATCCTCTGGGTATGCTATCAAGATGTGAATAAATAAAAAAATTAACCTGACTTTGTGCAGTTGGACAAATCAGGTAAAAATCACAACACCAAGTATCGCTGAGGATCCTTGTCTTAAAAAGGCAGTTAAGGACAGGAGCAGAATGAATGGAGCATCACAGAAACCTTGTGGGAGTCGAGTTTCAGTCTGCTTGCACCCCAACAGTAACCCACACCAAAAATATAAGCCTATTCTTAGAAAGTGAATAAAGTCTGCCAAACACCTCCACACCTATCAGCATGTCAGGCATTGGGAAATGTAGAAAGTTAGGAAAAATAAAATGACAGACGTAAATTCAGTACAACGGTTATAAACAACTATCAAGGGTGTATGGGCTGAGACTGGTGGAAAAGTGAGTACAGTGATGCAAATTTACACAACTCACATTACATGCAAAGGCACATTTTTTTTACCTTACAATCATGAGTACCTTCACCAATGGGATAAAGCCTGTGTCCTGAATGTGCAGCTGCTTTTCTACACACATCACAGATTGGTTCTAGGTCCTCCAGACAGAACAGTGTCAGCCTTTCTCCATGTTCTTTACAAGACCCTGGGTCA